AAATCCACTGAGCCTCATGTATGTTCCCTGGTTTTAGCCATGGAGAAAACTCTTGGCTGGAAAGCGAATTTTGGTTACATTTACACTTGCTCATATTTTCCAGACAAAAAGACTGATTTAAGACATTTTAATACCAATTAAGGCCTTAGTTTTATTTTGAAGAATTCAAGACTTTAAGACTTTTCAAGGACCCGCAGGAACCCTGTAGTGGTACATAAACTGATTCTTCACTTTATCTCTGCTACATTTCCACCAGTTATCTTGATCACCGATCCCTTGTGGTTTTTGCGAGTACTGCACCGACATCTGTGCCTAATATAAAAGGGTGAAACGCTTCTATGGGCTTGCGCACGGCGAGCACAGACCGGCGCCGACAACCCAACGCGGGATTACATCTTGGCCTGATGATTCCTCAGTTGAAATATCTGGTTAAATACGAATTAACAAATGGAAACTAAATCAACAGCAGTCTGTAGTGCTTATTAGATGTTATGTAAGAAGACAGATTTTTCCATTTCTGCCGTTTCATTTTTGTGTTCCACACATCTCCTCCCATCTTTGGGTCACATCTTTAAATAAATCTGTGTGATTTTTCCAAAAAATATTGTTTCTGTAGGGTTTTATTCAGCACAATAAACTGAAGCTAACATTTTTCTTCTTTTATTAGTGTCTGAGCTAAAAGACGAAAAGAGCTCCAGCAGCTGTCTGACTGGATATCAGTATTTTTTAGCTCATTTATAACCGCTTAAAAACTTATGTCTGTGTGATAAAACTGATTGGAGATAAACTTATAGGGACACTGCTCGCCTCAGAAGCGACATTTTCCAATATAAAAGTGGCGGCTCTGCTGTGAGGATCAGAGTGAAAATGTTCCTCAGAAGTTGAAAAAGAGTTCAAAAAGCTATTAGCTAGATAAAAACGTATTATTTACATGTCTGTGTAAAAATAACCAGTCTTCTCTGACATGGAACTACAGAGAACGAACAAAAAAACAGGAAATAAAGGCAAACAGACGCCTTAAAGAGGAAAATAAACCCAGACTCTTAAGGGGTCTAAAAGGTTGAGTGATGATACAAACCTTCTCTGATGTTCTCTTCGCTCTGACCCACATACATGTTGATGAGCTCTGGACCTTTGACGCTGTGGCAGAAAAGATGAGAAGAAGCTTAAACCCAGAAACTAGTAAAGCTCTGAAGCAGGGAGTGCAGACCTGCTGCATGGAGTAAACCTACCTGAGGAAGGTCATGGAGCACTCTGTGGCCACAGCTTTGGCCAGCAGAGTCTTCCCTGTCCCCGGTGGGCCATACAGCAGGACTCCGGTCCGGTTTAGGCCCAGAGACAGGAGCTCAGGACGCTGCAGAGGAAGCTGCACGGTGTCCAGGACCTCCTTCTTCACCTGCTCCAAACCGCCAACATCCTCCCAGCGGACGTTAGGGATCTGCTTATTAAGAATGAACCAGGTTAGATTTTTTTACTGGGAGCCAGGATGGAAACCACAGGGTGTAATGGTCTGGTTTTATTCATTTTAAACCCTGCACTGTCAGAGAGATGTTTTATTAGAGCGAAAACACTTTTCCCATGAAAAGCCCGACAAACATTATTAAGTGTGAAAAAAAGTCCTGCCAACATACTGCTGTAAAATAACCGAGATTCATGTTCTGCTTTTTACACCTGTTAAAGGAAAAGTCCGTCAGCAAGGAATTAATGAATTTAGCATTAATCAGTAAAAAATAAAAACAATTTTTGTTGCGATCACTGAGTCTGGGAGCGGCCATTTTTGCCCAAATATAGTAACCCCTCCCTCCTGCCATCT